AATGTTGGTACTTACTGTGCCCGGCTCTCTGTCTGCTCCAGAAGTAACCAAGAAATGCACAGACATGCCCGTTCAGACACAGAGGCAAGAACAGAAATAAAAAAGGGGGGAAAAAAATTAGAACACAAGCCGCAAACAGTTTTAAAATGGCTTTTATTTATATAAGTCATTGCACATTCCTAATACAGTGATTTCCTGAAAATTACAGTATTTTGTAAACATGATTTACAGTTTAACCATACACAAAGCCTAGTTTTATTTCATGACAGAATAAATTATTTTCCTTTCAAAAATTAGTCAAGTGCAATTTTGCCCAATATTTAATTGCGTACTAGAATTTATGCCTATGAAACTAAAGTAACAGATGCAATTATCTAAATCTTTTCAACACATTCACTTCAAAATTTAATTTCATTCCCCCTACCTACCCACCCACCTATTTAACAACATTACTTTCTTTGAAAAAATTACCCATTATGTAGTTTAACAGTTTTCCACAATATGGTGCAGGCCACTTGTGTTACAACTAAACATTTACCAGGATGTCAAAATGCCCTTCAAACTATAGAGCAGGTGACACCTAGAGATCCCCTTTTAAAATACTGAAAAATTCCAAGCTGAATTTTGCTTCAGTGGTATATATGCAGACATTTTTAAGTTTGCCAACAGTTTTTTCTCTTTCTATATAACTTGAATTCTTTAGAGATGCATATAATTTGCAGCAATGTGCAATTTTGACAACGTCCTAATCAGGCCTGCCATGCCTCTCACCTCTGTGGTGTTCTGCATCATGATGCTTCTTGTCATCTTTTATTGCCAAGTGAGACTGCCCACCCAAAGCACTAGAAAGGGCAAGAAGGCCAGCACTGCTTCCGAGTGGAGGGATTCCTGGAGGCTGAAGTCCTGATGGATGCGGTGTTAGAGGCACTGGAGGTCCATGGCCATGGGAGAGATGTTGAGCCTGCAACTGCTGCTGCTGTTCCCAGTGGTATCATCATCCCCAGAAGAACAACGCATAATACATAGTTTGGGAAGGAGAAGGAAGAAGTTTGGTTAATTGGATTGGACAGTGGATTTTCTTTGTTTGTTTTAAATCTAGCCTCACCTCTTTGTCCCACCACACCACACATACTGCATTCCATCATGCTGAGGACAGCTCTGCTGTATTCTCACAGACTAAGAAAGGCTAGCTAGATATTTGTTCTGCAGGCAGAGGAATAGGGTCAGCTACTGTAGGTTGTTTTGGGCAGCTACTGCCTGCCACAGCATCACAAACAGCAGCAGCAG